GTGAGCTCTTTCCCCAGTAACTTGGATCTTTGGGTTCATCAAGCACTATGTTACTGTGCTTCTGTATATTGTGGACCTAATCTAATCCAATCCACTGATCCACCATCTATTTCTTCCCTAGGACCATATTATTTTCATGATTACTCCTCTGTAGGATAGTGTGAGATCTAGCATTGCTAGGCCACTTTCTTTCCTGGTTTTTTTTTTTCTTTCCCATTGATTCCATTGATATTCTTGACATCTTGTTTCTCCAGATTTTGTTGTGATTTTTTTCTAGTTCTATGAAATAATTCTTTGATAGTTTGATTGGTGTGACATTGATGAGAAAATTAATTTAAGTAGTTTTGTCATTTTAAAAATATTGACTTGGCCTATCCATGTTGTGTAATCAATATTTCTATAATTATTTAGATTTATCTTTGCATGAATAACATTTTGTGATTGTGCTCATATAGTTCCTGTTTGTGTCTTGACATACTCCCAAGTATTTTACACTGTCTTTAGTTATTTTAAAGGGAATTTCTTTTTCTAGCTCTTCCAGCTGAGGTTTTTTTTTTTAAATATACATAAATGTTAATGATTTGTGTGGATTTATTTTACATCCTATAACTTTGGTGAAAGGCAGCTAGGTGGTGCAGTGAATAGTGTACTTGGCCTGGAATCAGGAAGACTCATCTTCATGAGTTCAAATCCGGCCTTAGACACTTACTAGCTGCGTGACCTTGAGTAAGTCACTTAACCTTGTTTGCCTCAGTTTTCTCACCTATAAGATGAGCTGGAGAAGGAATGGCCACTCCAATATCTTTGCCAAGGAGACCCCAGATAGGGTCATGAAGATCAGACACAGCTCAGCAACAAGTTTGCTGAAGTTGCTAATTGTTTCAACTAGTTTTTTAGTTGATTCTCTAGGATTCTCCAACTGTGCCGTCATATCATCTGCAAAGAGTGATAGTTTTGTTTCCTCATTTCCTAGTCTTATTCTTTCAATTTCTTATGCTTGTAGTATTGCTATAGCTGAATTTCCAGTACAATATCGAATAGTAATGGTGAAAATGAACATCCTTGCTTCACCCCTTATCTTATTGGGAAGGTGTCTCGCTTATCCCTATCAAAGATAGTCCTTGCTCTTTGTTCTGAATGAAATGGATGAATATTTACAAAAGTTATAAATCCCCCAGGTTAACAGAATAGAAAATAGAATCCTTAAAATTCTTATCTTGGAAAAAAGAAATTGAACAAGCTGTAAATAAAAGTCATAAGAAAAAAAATCCGCAAGACAAGATGGATTTACAAGTGAATTCTCCCATACATGTAAAGAATAATAAATTCCAATGTTACATAAACTAATTGAAAACATAGGTAAAGAAGAAATCCTATCAAATTCCTTTTTTGACACAAATAAGATCTTAATACCCATTTCATTAATTGTCAGTTTTAATGGCATATAGTTGGGCAAAATAGCTCCTAGTAATTGCTTTTATTTCATCTTCATTGGTTGTAAATTCACCTTTTTCATTTTTGATACTGGTAATTGGATTTTCTTCTTTTTAATAATAAAATTAGCCAATGGCTTATCTATTCTATTGTTTGTTTTTAAACTAGGTCCTAGTTTTATTTGTTAGTTCAATGGTTTTTTACTTTAAATTTTGTTAATCCCTTCTTTGGGTTTTCGGGATTTCTATGTTGATGTTTAATTAGGGTTTTTTAATTGGTTGTTTTTTTATATTTTTTTGCTATATGCTCAATTCATTGATTTACTTTTTCTCTGTTTTATTGATGTAAGTAGGGACATGCATTGTCCCCTAAGCACTGCTTTGACTGTATCCTACAGATTTTGGTAGATTGTCTCATTATTGTCATTGTCTTTAATGACATTATTGGTTGTTTTTATGATTTATTCTTTGATCAATCCATTCTTTAGGATTAAGTTATTTAGTTTCTAATTAACTTTTAATATATGCTTCAAAAATCTTTTATTGAATGTAATTTTTATTATGTTATGGTAGGACAAAGATATATCCAATATTTCTGTTTTTCTACATTTGTTTTGAGATTTTTATGCCCCAAATGGTCAATTCTTGTAAAAGTGCCAGACATAGTTAAGAAATAGGCATACTTCTTTCTATTCCCATTCAATCTTCTCTGGAGGTCTATCACATTTAACTTTTCTAAAATTCTATTCATCTCCTTTCTTTCTTGTTTATTTTGTGATTAGATTTATTTTGACCTGAAAGGGATAAATTGAGGCACCCCACCATTATAGTTTTACTGTCTATTTCCCCCTGTAATTCATTTGATTTTCCTTTAAGAATTTAGGTGCTATTCCATCTGGTGCATATATATTCAGTATTGATATTAATTCATTTTCTATGGTACCTTTTAGTGAAGTGTAGTTTTCCTGTTTATCTCTTTTAATTTGGTTTATTTTTGCTTTTGCTTTGTCTCAGATCATGATTGCCACCCCTGCCTTTTTCACTTAAGCTGAAGCATAACAGATTCTACTCCAGCCCCTTATTTTAACTCTATGTGTATCTTTCTGTTTCAGATATTCTTATTGTAAACATTTTCTTGTTGGATTTTAGTTTCTAATCCATCCTGCTATCCTTTTCTGTTTTATGAGTGAGTTTATCTCATTCACTTTCACAGTTAATTTGCCTCCATCCTATTCCTTATTCTTATCTTTCTCTTTTTTTTTCAACCTCATCCCTCTTTCAGAGTCTATTTTGCTTCTGATCAGTGCCTCCCTTAATCTACCCTCTCTCTTATTCTCCACCCTCCTCTTTCTTTTAATACCATTTCCCTCCTACTTTCCTGTTAGGGAAAATGAATTTCTGTACTCATTTGTGTGTGTTTGTGTATTCTTCCCTCTTTGAACCAGTTCAGATGAGAACGAGGTTCAAATGTTGCCCACCCCACTCTATTATCCCCTCCATAGTATAAACTCTTCCTTGTTTGTCCTGTTTATGTGAGATAATTTTCTTCATTCATCTTCTCCCTTCCTTTCCCAGTGCATTCCTATTCCCCACCCTTCCATTCTTCTTTTGAGATCATCCAAATATAATAGAATCATACCCAGGTTCTCTAATTAGACTCCCTGGAAGACCCCTAGTGAAGATAAAGTTCTGAGGTGTTACATGCATCATCTCCCCATATAATAATGCAAAGAATTTTTTAGTCTTTTATGATTTCTTACTTATATTTACCTTTCTGTGCTTTTCTTGAGTCATATGTTTGAACATCAGATTTCTGTCCAGCTCTTGTCCTTTCATCAGGAATTCTTGAAAATTTTCTATTTCATTAAACCTCCATTTTTCTCCTAGGAAAGATTATATTCAATTTTGCTGGGTAAGTTAGTCTAGGCTATAATTCTAGATCCTTTGCCTTCTGGAATATCACATTCCAATCCCTCTGTTCCTTTATTGTAGTAGCTACCAAATCTTGTGTGAACCTGACTGTGGCCCCATGGTACTTGAATTCTTTCTTTCTAGCTGTTTTCAGTATTTTCTCCTTGACCTTAGAGTTCTGGATTTTGCCTATAATATTCCTGGGAGTTTTCATTTTGGAGTTTCTTTTAAGAGGCGATAAATTCTTTTAATTTCTACTTTCCCTTCTGGTTCTAAAATATCTGGGTGGTTTTCCTTTAAAATTTCTTGAAATATGATGTCCAGGCTCTTTTTGTTTGTTTGTTTATTTGTGGCTTTCAGGTAGACCAATGATTATTGTGATAGATGGTTAATTGAACCCGTATTTTATTGGACTCTTATTTTATTCTAATCAGTATTAATCAGTTTCATATAATTCCATAGGGGTGGTCATTATCAGTTCTGATAGTAGGCCACAGAGTTGTGAACTGCCCACTGTAAATTCACTTGCTTAATCATAGGAAGCTAACTAAAGGACATCCACCCTTGTTTTTCCTTGTTATGGTGATCAAGGCTAGTGTGGTGGAGGTGACTCAATGACGTGGAAAGCCCTCTCCCCCCCAGCTATTTTTGTTGCCCCTCCATCCCTTCTCATCCCTCTATTGCCCGACATGGGGTGATAACCATGAGCAGTTGGCCAATGAGTGAGCCTTGTTTCCGGACTGCACCCTGTCCTCCTTCTAGCCCATCAACCTATATAGATGTCTTGATATCTGCTCATCAGCCCAACTCCATGCCCCTGTTCATTGACTCTGGTAAGACCTCCTGGAAGGTCAAGATAGGTCTGTTAAGGTCTGCTCACTAGCCTGTTTGTCAACCAATGGGATTCTGTATTTTGTATAGACCCTCATAGAGGGTCAAGGGCAAGGTCTATCCACCAGTCAGATTCTGTATTTTTGTTCTGCTTCACCTGTATTGTCTGGGTATTAAGCACTAGAAAACTAAGGCCCTCGAGGAAGGGGATATCTCAGATCATGAGGAAGATCTGAAGTCCACTTCATCAAAGGGGACCATGGACCCTTTAATAAAGTGCCATTGGCTCAGAGCTCTGCCTCGATGGTTTTTATTACAGACTGGACAAAAATCTGCACATCATTTAATTATCTCTCCTCAGTCTATTTTCCAGGTCAGTTGTTTTTTCTATCATTTCATGTTTTCTTCTATTTTTTCCAGTCTTTCGGCTTCATTTAATTATGTCTTGATGTCTCACGGAGTCATTAACTTCCATTTGGCTAACTCTCATTTTCAAGTAGTTATTTTCTTCAGAAACGTTTTGTATCTCTTTTCCCAAGCTGTTCTCTTTTCATAACTTTCCTGGATAGCTCTCATTTCTTTTCCATTTTTCTTTTTTTACTCTTAATTGGTTTTTTAAATCTTTTTTTTTTCTTCTGTTTTTTACATCTCTTTGTTTAGCTCTTGCTTTAACTGGTCTAGGAATTCCTTTTGGGCTTATGTCCAGTCTGTATTTTCCTTTGAGTCTTTGTTTGCAGAGATTTATCAAGTCATGGTCTTCTTTTGTATTTTTGTCTTGAGTTTCCCTGTCCCCTTAGTGACTCTTTATGGTCTTTTTGTTGTTAGCTCATTTTTCACTTTGGACGTCACGTTGTGAGAAAAACCTGAGCACATTTCTAGGAAGCCAGGAAGATGTGTATTGATGAAGAGAGGTTGAAGATAAGAGAAAAAAAAAGGGCAAAGTGCTAGGAGAGATGGGCAATAACGTGATCCAGGACACAAAGAAGAAAGCTGATCTTGGCAAGCCAAAGGGTCACTTCCTTTTCAGAGACTAGGCTGAAGGAGGAAAGAGTGGGTAAAAATCCACAGTGTTATAAGATATGGAGGGGAGAAGAGGAAGCTCATGACAGATCACCTCAACCCTCTTGCCTCATGTCCTCTGCGGGGGTTACTTGTCCAACTCAAACGTACATCAGTGGACCAAAGCCCTACAGAAGAGCTGACACCTTCAGGTCTTTTAGGGATTAATGGGAGGGTCACTGGGGTTTCTACTATAATTGCTCATGAACCACCAGCAGCGTGCTTCCCACCAATGAGGAGATATATTTAATTAGCTTGTTGACTGAGTATTTGCTGCACAGTTGTAGCAGAGAGAGTTGGCACAAAAACGGTTCCCCTGCTGATCTGGGGCATGCACCTCCACGAGTACATACAGGTGCCCAAGAAGATTGGGCTCACACTCAGAGTACAGTGGCGGTGAGTCACATGTGCGACAAAGGATGATCTCACAGCTCCAGGTGCTGAAGATCCATTCTCACCTCATGGTGTGGCTGTCCAACGGGCTCTGAAGGTTCTGAGGTTCCTGTCTTCAGTGGGCTTAGAGGGTCTCTCAGGCCCTTTTCCAGAGCCCACCATCAGCAGCTACGTCCCGATGGATGCTGATGGGAAGTCCAGATCTGGTGACCTTTCAGAGCTCAGAGATCATCCTCTGGCTGACGGGGGGAAGGGAGGAGAGAGATCTCAGTGCTCCCCAAAGGGCAACTCCCTGGCCGGCCACCAAACCAGCTTGACCTCTGGATCCTGATTCCGAACTGGCAGGCTCTGAAGCTGCGTCTGAGTCTTTCAGCCAATCCCAACGCATTTCCTACCTGAATTCATTTGACTTCATTACTTCACTCCCCCAAACTGACTAATGAGCTGATTTCTTGGCATTGACCTTCTCTCAGAAGAGACCTTGGTAAGCGATGAGAGGTATGTGAAATGGTACCTACCGTGTCCTTGCTATGTATCCCTTCCCTGCTCTGTGTGGCTAGCTAAATCTCCTTTTGTTTGATCTCCAGGTTGATGTCAATCCGGTTCCAAACTTGAAGCCCGGGGCGATCCTGAATTGGGCTGGGCCCATGACAAGTATCGGTGAATGTTCCCACCACACTTGACTGCACCTGGGTGGATAGAATTCTGGACTTGGAGTCTGAACCCTGCTCAGACACTCCATAACTGTGTGACCCTGGGCCACTTTTGCCTTCCTCCTACCCGTTTCCTCATCTGTGAAATGGGGCTGATTAAAGCACCTGCTTCATAGGGTTGTTATGAGAATCGAGTGAGGAACACGGAACGGATTTTGCCAACCTTTATGTGCTGTAGAAATGTTAGATGGGATGATGATGGGGAGGTGGTCATTCTGCTCACTAATGCTATGCGTCTGGAGGCAGTGTTTTGTTACTGTGTTTGGTCTTCTTCAATGACCTTTCATTAAACACTGTTGCTTTCAGGGCCTCGAGGCTGTACATGGCTTTCTAGGTCCTCGGGTGCGCCCTTTTGACCAAGTCCAAGTTTTACAGAACAAACCTTTTTATTAAGGGGATGTGTTCTGTGGAGTTTGGACTCAGTCAAAGGGCCACGTGTGGCCTCCAGCCTGCAGGTTCCCCACCCCTGCCCCAGACCAAACTCCCCTCTTTCTGGCCGTGCCATGCCGTCCTGCCGGTCATTCAGATGCACAACCTCGGAGCTGTGCTCGAACCCCGATTTTCCTCCGCCCCCCCCATCCAACCAGGCGCCATATCTTGTTCATTCCACAGCCTCCCCCTTCTCTCCCCTCTGCAGCTGCTGCCCTGGGGCAAGCCCTCATCACCTGTTCCTAGTTCCCCACCTCTCCCCTCTCCAAACACCTGCCAGCCAGGTCACTCTACTGCTCAAGAGGTTTCCTCTG